GCGCTTGGCGCCCCTAGACTTTGCTTTTGCGCGCTCCCCTGTTGGGGTGCACTCTTCGTTACCCTGCGTGAGGGAACCCGGCGTGCCGCGTGGCGGCGGTGCTCGGCTACTGATTGTTGGTTTGAATTCTCGAATTCTACGAATTCTACTTTGTTTTCCCTTAAGGAAAACAGGTGTACCATCTTGGAGAAAAATTTTCTGACGACGACCCGAACGTTTCTTCGACTGTGTTGGCGGTGTGGTCGGGGTAAGCTGTGGCAGGGAAGGGGAATGGTATTTAGTATTGCAGGGTCCTCGGTATTGCAAAAGCAGCTGCCTACTGTACTGAAGCGGTATGGTCTCTTCAAGTGAAATTTGAACCGAAGACTTAAGCAAATCACCCTCCCATTGAACTCGAAGCGGAATGTTCCCATTCACAATATGCATATATTTGTTATGTTCAGCAAAAGGATTCCAGGTTTGGGGAGTGGGCAAAAGCAGGAAACCAAAGTACCAAGGTTGGGGACAACAGAGCTTAAAGTTAAACGGGCCCTTTGTTTGGCAGTGTGGTCGCCCTAGCCAGACACCTGTCGCTCCTAGGTGGTGGCAGCATGCTCTCATTGAGAAAGTTTCAAAGGTGAGAGCTGCCTGCCAAAAAAGAGGAGCTTCACACCGCCCAGTGAAAAGCTTCAAAGGGGGCGGTGTGATCAGGAAGATCAGCTCAGCCCACGACCAACCTTCTGTAGCGGTGTGGTCGCGAGGTGGCTTTGCAAAAGTACTAAGGTCAACCCATCAGTTCGACTTGGCAGACTTTCCTCCTTTCGAGCCTCTGCCACGGCCCCATCCTGTGCCAGCATCCTCTTGCATCTCCACATCGTCCGAGTGGAGGAACGGGTCTGGACCGATGTTGGCGGCGGTGTGGTCTGGGGCTGCCGGCTTCCCTCGAAAGGTACTGATGGCATAGTCCCCGACCTTCTCCGCTGTCTTGCCCTTCTTGTCGCAGTACTCATCCCAGACGAAGGCCACCTCATCGACCTTAACCAAGGTCAAGTTGAAAGGATACGGGCAATAATAGCTGTTCCAGATCACCGTGTTGCTCCAGTGCCTTTTGCCCTTGCCCTTTGCAACTCCCTTGCCAGACATAGCAGATTCCTGCAAAGCTGCCCGGGCTGCGGTTTGGTCGGCCTGGTCCAGCTCGTATTGTGCTCCCCAAACCATGTTGTTCCAGGTCTGGGTCCACAAGGACTCCGAGCCTTCCCCCACCTCTATGAGGCGTGCCAGCTCGGGCACCACCTCCAAACGGCCCACGAAGTCCCCCTTGTCCTGAAAATAGAACAAGCGAGCCCATGCCTTGGCGTCTTGGTCAAACTCTTCGTCGTCCTTTGGTGCCATCACTGTAAGAGTTTTCCACAATATCGTCATCTTGTTCCCACCGGCGGTGTAGTCGGGGTGGTTGTTGATCACGGACAAGATGATGCGAAGTGGAAGCTCCAGTTTGCGTTGCCATTGTGGACTCGATGGGCTGACCCGAATGTGCTTCCCATGCACAGGGGTGCTCTCGTCAGAATACAGCGGTGTTCCTGCTGTACCACCAAACTTCGCCATGAAGTCCTGCCGAGTGTCCCAGCTCTTGAACGACAAAAGGGTCATCGTTGAGAAGAAGTCGTTCTGCTGCGGGATGGTCGTAGGATCCTGGGTCAAAGCATTGATGTACCTCGGCATCTCATGGGCGGTTTGGTCCGAGATAAAGCCCCGGAACTTCAGGAAGTCGACGATCTTCGGGCACTGTGCCAACATCCAGCCCACCATGAAAATACGCTGGTCTGGCTTCATACAGTTTGGCCACCCCGAAGTCAAAACCTGTAGCCCTGCTTGGTGCTTCTGAGCAAGGCGGTTGTCCGCCGAAAGCCACTGCAGTTCCTGCCTGGCCTTGAAAACGGACTCGTCCACTGTTTTCAAAGCTGCCTCCAGCTGCAGAACCAGATTGTACATCTCGGGTCGAATAACTGCACGATGGTACGACCTCACCATCTCAAACACCTGCTGGTTGTTCTGGACAGGTTTGGCGAGCCAGTTCTTGATGGCGGTTTGGTCGTTAATGTCCACTCCATGCGTAGCTGCTGTAAGGCCCACGGCTGTACTGTCCTCGAAGGAAAAAGGCTGCAAAAGGGATGGCCCATCCTCCGATGCCCCTTGCGGTGGCTCCGGTTGGGAGGCTTGGGCTCCTTCTTGCGGTGTGGTCAGGCCCGACTGCAAAGGCGTCGGGGCCGACCTCTTGTTGCGCCTCTGTTGCTCCCAGTACTCCTGCTGCACTGCCGTGTAGTCAGGCTGCCTGAAACGACTACGCATATCCTGAAACTGCTGCATCGCACCCTGATCTGCTGCCATGGCTTCGAAGCAAAACGCACGAAAACTACTCTACCTGACCTCTCGCCTTAAGCGGTGTGGTCAGCGACCTGCAAGCTTGCAAAAAACAATCTGGGCCGATACGCCTAGCGTAAGGTGATACTTGTGTGGAAGAGGTTCCTTTGGCTTTGGAGATATCAGAAACCAAAGGGGGTGAGGAAGAACAACACTCCGTCAGCCTACATTGCTGGAAGGGCCCGGGTGTGACCACGACAGCACAAGATGCTGACATCATCCGATAGGTGCACGCGGAAGAGCAGCATCCAGTACCAAAGGAGCACGTTAGACCCGGCCGCACAGTCCACGAAGAGCCCCTGCTGACAATGAGAGCCTCAAACATAAAATCTAGTCAACAGTCTGGTGCATAGCAGAACCTGCGACGGCCCTGTCGTAGGCCTTTTGGCATTCACACCTGTCACGACAGTCTGATATCTGGAAGCTCAGACCTCATTACATGTCACATGAAGTGATGTTGACGATTGAGCTTGTTGTATCCAGCTTCGCATACACTGTAGCTGAGGTTTGCGGAGTACCTACCGCTGGAGAAATGCCTGCACCTAGCTGAGAGTACTCGCCTGGGCGGATTTTGTGGGCTCAGAGTCAGAGCCCTGAAGTTTCAGAAAGGTTTCCGATTTGATAGACCGGGACTTTGAAGCTTTCGCTGAGCCGGAGCTTTTGAAGCAAGGACACATGCCCATGCAGTGCGGTCGTCAATCGGGAGAACAAAGGCCTGGCCTTCTCGACATCGTGGGCAAAGTCTATGGTGTCACTTTCCGGGAGGCCCATGTAACGCTGGCACAGGAACTCTACTCATTTGGACCCTGCCAGGCCACCGGTTCTGGGTTCTTCTCAAGACTTCCCGGTGGCTGGCACACCTCGTTGAAGATTTTTGAGGCCTGGAGAAACAAGAGTGCTCGAAGCTGCCACCTCTCGTCGACGGTGTCTTCAGGTCGTCGATGGGGCACCGCGTCCTGCTGGAGTCGTGGCTTGAGTCCTCATGGAAGACTGCGATGTTCTTTCACCTGATGCAGTCTGGCCGTGCTTGAGGTTAAACGTGATCCCGGCAGGGGGAGGTTGGGCTATGTGTACTTGGACCTCTACGCAAGGAGGCGGGTCACTTCAGAGCAGTCAGAGGAGTGGTGCGCAAAGCCGCGGCGCGGCCGGCGAGCACAATGGTTTTGTAGGATGTCCATGCTGGGCCAAGAAGCTGTGGAGCAGCCTGGGGCGGCAAGCCTTTGTCCTGGTCACGCATACGTGAGTGGCGGTCTCAGAACAACTGCAAACCATACAGGTTGCATGCGGACGAGATTGGCCAACGACGTTGCATGCGTTATGCATGTATGGCTCTTGCAGTAGTCTGTTGCTGTACCTGACTGTGTGAGCTGCTGGAAGTCGCAACGATGGGATGTGATGGCTGTCTAGGCTGTCTGCAAGACAGTGCCTCGACATGACTGTGACTTAAGCCGAGGCTGCAACATGTTCAGGCCGCCTCTGGGCCGTGGCTTGCACGCTATAAGATTGCCAAAGGCCGTGTTGCAGAGTTCGATGCTAAGGGAGCAAGCTGATGAACGTGGAGGAAGCTGTGGCCCTTGCCCACGAACTCGGTCATGCCAGAAGCCCAATTCTCAGAAGGCAAGCGCAGAGCTGAAGCATTGCATCAGCAGGCAATACATATGCTATGCCACCCGGGGTCTCCTTGTGATTTTAGCGCCAGATTCTAAGATGATGTCTGTCTCGATGAGTTGTTTTCTTTGAAAATTCTTCGTTTGAGAGCAGGACATGCCTCTGGACTTGATTGAACTGCCGACGCCTCTTCTCGAACCCAGCGATTGGACGTTGACGCTTGGGGTGGAAGGCCCTCCACGTTGGTGGAAACCATCGTTCTCCAGCCGCAGAGCTTGGCAAAGGCCTCCCGAAGCCGGTTTGAACCCTTGAGAATCCTTGAGACTTGAGACGAAGCGCCTGCTGCCAGTACACATGTCACTACAATTCCAATCGCCCCGCTCCTGAGTCCTTGATCCGTCTGGCACTCACAAGGAGAAACTTTCTGCACAATCTATATGCTGTGAAACTGTGTCGACAGTGACCTGCAGTTTGATCATGCTGGATCAGGTTCATGCCAGCGTAACCAACGCTTCTTCATCAACGCTTTGCAGAATGCAAGTGTTTCGCTGGGAGTGCATGCCGAGGACGCACTCCGTAACAGTGAAAGCTCATGCAACTCGCATATTCGGAGGCATTCGATCCCTTCAAGGCGACCCCGGCTGATCTTCGAGCTGAGGCGGTGTCTTTGCGCTTCACTCAGTCAGTCGGCATGTTACATTCTGGCACAGCACTTGGAAGCTGCGATCTACTCTCCTCAGGTGGCAGCGCTATTCCCTGGTGCCAGCAGATCCTGCCTTCCATCCATTCGGCACCGATGCTGGCGTGCACGTATCAGCGGGCGGAAATCAGGTAGCATACCTTCTTTGCTATTTGCGTGTGGCGCTTACTTCCACCGGTAGCATGGAAAGTGGAAATATCAGAAGATCTTGAGGTGTTGCGGGCATTCTGCAAGCGAATAATGGGAGGCCTTCGCTGAGGGTTGGGAATGAAAGAATCGCGACTCACTCCGACAGTGCTACAGGAAAGATGGAGATGCTGTTTGGACTGGCGCTTAAAGTGTAGATATTGCCCCTGACGTTCCAAGCCCAAACCGTCGCTTTGCATCGATCGAAGCTTCTGAAGCAAGAAAATTGTTGCGGGCAAAGGGCGGCACAGTCCTGAAATGATAGGTTTGCACCACCTGCACCTTCAGCTGCAATGTGCTTATCAAGGCTGCAGCCAGACTTTCCGAAGCGCATTCGTGGGCAGCTGCCGCGCACTCGGAGGATCCAAAGTCCGGCACTTTCCGGAAAGACATCCGAGGTTGGACCAGGACTTCGCTTCGAAGGGATGGGCCTCCCGGTTTCCAGCGAAAGCTGGGGGTGTGACCCACAGAGCTCATAGTGCCGTTTCTTCTCACAGATGAGCTGCTGTCACAGAATAGTTGATCGGCTGAACTTTTGGATCTCGAGCGAAGCACAAGACATCACAAGACTGGCAAGGTCAGCTGCGCCCACATCCGCTTCCTCCGCCGCATCCTTTCGTTGCAGGTGCTGTCCTGTCGTTGTCTCCGAATTCGAATCTGCTTCAGGCTGCCGAAGGACACCTCCGCTCTTCTCCGGCTAGCTGCTTGATGAGCGAAAATGTCTCCCATCGATGGAAGTCAAGCTAGTTGCGCGGGCATCCCATGCTGTGTTGTGTCGAGATTCTGGCTGAACACAGGAAGTGGGAAGTGCCATAGAATCACCCAAGCCTAGTCAGTTCACTCCACATGAAGTGGCTCGCAATGCGGGCATTGTGATCCGCTATGGAGCCCAACATAGCTCTCGATATGTCGACAATCGGCTAAGATTGAAAGGTTACTCAACTGAATTACAAACCACCCAGAAACTGCCATCCTACTCCCGCCGCGTGTTTTCGGCCATGGCGCCCAGCAGAGGACCGTTGGAGGACGGTCCCTCTAGAGATGTAGACCCTCCAGCCTGTCACATTTGTCGGATTCAATTGCTTCAGACGGTGGTGTCATTAACGTATCTTGGAGGCTATTAAGGCTGTTGGTTATTCGGATTCTTGCCGATGTGGTCGCGCCAAGACTTCCTGTCTGCATTGACTACTGTAAGGGTTGCCGCACACCATTTTCAATGAAAGCTAGCTCTCGGACGCGAGTTCTTCAGGAAGCAATGAAGGCCAAGCTCCGACAGATGCAGGCGAGCCGAACCTATCGCTTGTTGTCCACCATGACGTGTCCAAATTCCGCAAATTCCTGGGACAGGTGGCACGGGATGCTGATCTCGGTCGCCTACAGGCTGGACCACGTTGACGGCAAACTTCGCGTGAAATCAATGGCCATGGGACAGGAACAGCTCTCCGCCAATCTGGCAACAGTCCAGAATCGCGATGAGGAGTTCATGAGCTGGCTTGCCTTTGCATCATTACCTTGAGCACAATGGGAGAAGGAGCTGATGGCGGCAGAGGCACGACCTTTGCATGCCAGACATGGGCCCTCTTGCTCGAGCACGTCAAGATGGATGCTAGGCCCGGTTGCAAGCCTGGTCTGCAGAGGCTGCACAGCTGAGGACCTCTGCGCAGGCTTGGCTCAAGTTCGAGATGAGTACGGAGCATTGCTGTCGCTCTGAAAGGATCCCAAACGCATCAAGCTCACACGTTTGCCAATCAAAGCAGACAATAGATCTCTAATGTCGAGCCTATCTCTGCTTGCTCGTACTGAGCTTTTCGCAGCCGTGGCCATCCAGCAGTCTTTCCAGGATTTAAGTTCGTAGGCTGTTGACAAGTTCCGTTTCATAACGACGAACTGCAGATTTGCTTTGCAAAAGCGGGATGCTGAATCTAAGTATTCATTGATTTCGGTTGATAGATGCAGCAACTCGAAAGTAGCTTAAGCAGCGTGTGCGTGTGCTCTTCACCCCCGTACGAAGAGCCAAGTATTTTTGCATTCAACGCAGTAAAGCATATCTCTGCAAACACACTCTTGCACTGACCCTCCAGGTAATCGTGCCGTGCAACGTTTTCCCACAGCAAAAATGGATTGTCGTCATTGCTTGCGGCCATGCACAGAGCATAACCAACTGGGCAGCGACAGTCAACTTTTCCCGAAAGCGATGATGCAAAGATCAAGAGCCATTACACGCGAGATGCTTTACATCATACCAGAAGCACCACAATTTGGGCTTGGCCGGTGTGCATTTTAAGTGGAAGGTGTTGCCTCAAATGCGGCAAAGTGCAAGCCTCTGGTTTGAATCACGGTTCCCTGCTGGTCAAACAGAGGTTTCGAACCTGGCCATCCCCAGGCAGCCTTCGAAGACTTAGCTTTATGAAGGCATCGCATCTGGAGGAAAAGGTGTTCAAGGCTCCATTGTCCCATGCAAGGTACACAGACGATACACCTCATGCGTTGTTTCGTTTTGGAGGATTTGAGATCGGCTTCGTACGTGGGGTCTGAACTCTATTTATAGTAAACGACATTCGACAGAAACCCACACGCAAAATCAAGTTGTCCTACAAGGCATCCCTGCATGACTGTCGCGGGTATTCGCGACAGAGAAGGCGTTGGTTGATCACAACGATTGTGAGATCGCTGCCAAAATTGCCGGTGAATGGATCTTGGCGACACCAACGGCGTCTGCAGCAGCCGGTGATACATGGTGACGATACATGATGCCCTGTATCCAGCATCATCCTGGCCCCTTCGTGTAGATAGCGCTTGAAGCCACACATTGGAAGGGCTTCTCCGCCCAAACGCCCGGTACACCGCACCCGCTTTCATTTTCATGCTTGCACCATCAAGCCGGGACACTGGATCCCAGAGACACGACGTTGGTCCGTTCAGGGCGAAGCGCAGCTTCGAGCAAGCTGCGAGCGGCAATCTGCCGTCTTAAGATCGAAGCTGGAGCAGGCGGACAATTTCAAGCAGCCTATTGTCATTCCTCTTTTCTGAATAGATCCACATCCCCATCCGGTAACAGGCTTCGGCTTCACATTCTCAGCTGGAGACGCAGCTCCGCGAACTCCAGACCGAATTGAACGAGGAGGACTTGGCACTCAGCGCTCGCCTCGCTTTGTCGGTACCATGTTGATCTCGCATGCAGGCTACCGCAGCGCAGCGGTACAAAGACTGCAACAGCACATTGGAAGAAGAGTTGAAGCAGGCTCACCGAGCCTTCCATAAGGTTCCGCAGATTCAGAGCATGCACGTCGTGCAGGCACAAGCTTCTGCAGCAAAGTCGGCTATGACTTGTCTGGACCCCTTTCTGAGTCTTGCATCTCCTTGCCATCACTGCGATTTCTAGTGGCCCTTGAGATTCAGGCGTGGAGTTGGAGGAAGAGTTGCCAGGGGCCTAGCGGCCCAGCTTTGCAGGTTTGGCTCGCGCCCTTGATCTGACTGAGGCTCTCGATTCGGCAGGAGGCTGGCGACAGAAAGCACAAGGTTGTATGCTAGAGACGGATTGAAGTGCTGGAGGCCTCAGAAATCTGAGAATGCGTAGATATGTGTGGCATATGTCGTGACACGAGCTTGTTCCGAAGATCCGGAGGAAGCACAAACCTCTGCAGCCTGCCGGCAGCAACATGAAGCTTCTCAGCAGTGTGGAGCTTAATCATAACGCACCTTTAGTGGCGAAGTGTTTTGCCTTGCCGCATCCTAGATACCAGCTGGAAATGAAGCAGCTGCAGGACTTGCCAAGAGTTCCAAGACTGTGACATGACGACACGTGCATTTGAAGCTGCTTGTGCGGACAACCTAGACTACGCAGAGGGGCTTGTCTTCTCTACCGTCTTCGTGCGACATTCTGCATGTACATAGAGCCGGTGGCCGCCCATTGTCCAAAGAAATGTTGAGGCGTCCTTTTTGCCCGTGGGCAACTACATACAGGACATGTTGGTTCAAAATATATCCCTGTTCCGGTTTTGCCGACAATTGCTCACTACGCAACGCCTTTGAGGGATATCCCGGCCCTCATACACCTCCCAGTACGCCACGGAAGTCGTCGTGCAACCGTCTCGCGTCTCGCGGTTCTACTTTGGCATCTGTTGAATTGCTTCTACGATTGGGTTCAGGGTGTTGCAACAGCCGGCAAGGAGCATGTGTCCGGTCACCGCATGCACCCCTCACGTATTTAGATCTGGTCCACAGGAACAATGAGCAGCTTCCGGCTTTGGAAACGCCATGCTCCTAAGAAGGTGGCTTTCTCAAAGCCTGTGTCTGCTTTTAATTGTTCTCCCAAATGTGACGACCCACGAGCTAGCACAGCTTGCCCTTCTATGTGGAAATCCAGCTCCCCCACATGCGGCAAGTAAGAACAAGTGCATTCATAAAATGCGGTTTAACCTTTGGTGCGCCAAGACCTTTTTGGAAGCCCTACTTGTCGCAGAAAACTCCAGGTGGATGAATTGGATTCAAGACGTCCATCTGCTTTCATGTTTGCAACATGTTGCAGGCATAGCCAGGGCTCTTGATTTGCACTGTTATCATGGATCCGAAAGCGCAAATCGAAATAAGCCAGTGCAGGGACGGGTGAGATTTTAGGTGTGTGGTTTGCGTATGCCCGTTTCAAGATCTAAGTTGGCAGATGTTGGCAGGAAGCCCTTTCGTCGGCTGAGCATCGCGAGGCTCCGATTCCTGTCATAGCCATGCAAACATTGCCTTCGCATGGTTCCACATAGCATTATGAGGGTCCTTGATGGAGAGACTGTCTTTTTCGTCTTTAGCCGTGTCATGTTCATTGGTGTTACCGGTTTCTTTCCCTTCCAATCTAAATTTTGATATCGTGTTCATTAAAATTTGGTCAGCAGCTTTTTTCGTGTTGTCATCGTTTTCCATGATTTTGACGTCCTTGGTGGAACAGGGCTGCGGGCAAGGCCGCTCAGGAATCCTTGTGATCATCGAAAATGTGGAGACCCTGCTAAATTGGTCATTCATTGTCTTCTTGATTAGCATTTTGTCACATTTCTTAATCGTTTTTCATCGTCTTCCATCATTCCGCAGTCAATTGGGCGGAAAACAGCCGGGGGAGGCAGGGCATCAAAGCTTCTGCAAGTCCTCATATATTTCGTTTTTGCTTAGTTAATTATACATTGAAGGACAGGGACCAGGGACCTTCCGTTCTGACAGGCTCTTCTCCGACAGAACGAGGAGACTGCTCAGCGCGAGAAAGAGGAGCGGCCTTGAAGCTATGCCTGTGCTGTCCTGCGCTTCTCATGAGCGAACATTGCACAGGAGCAACATGCACACCTCGCCAGGTTAGAGAGCCACGTGCCCTGCCGTGCTTGTTTCGCCGCGTCCAATCCCTTGCAAGAGCTCACCACTGGCAGGTGGCATCGATGCCGCAGAATTCGAAATGCTGTGCTATCCAGTAGAAAACTCTACCAGCGCATTTGGCATCGGTGGAGGTGAGCTGTCAGGTTTCTGGGATGTCCCACCTCTGCATCACCATTGGCTTCGATCATGCCATGTAGAATTCTCAACAGAATTAGTCTTATCATGTAGGTTTCCAGTGGATGATCTAGTTCATGGATGTTCGTTACATATGAATTCTCGAATAAAAGCTTGCGGTCTCGGTCGCTGCATTTTCCTTGCCGGTCTGTCTTTTCGGTGTTCTCTTCGTAACTTCTCTCCGGCGGACTTCTTATTAACAGAAAATCCCTGGAATTTTAGTTATGCTCGGTGCTCAGATTCGAAGATTCTGAACATAGTTGCGAAAAATATTTGAGGAGACTTTGCAGCGATTCAATAATAAGAATTTTCTTTAGCTGAAATGTACTCAGGTCCTATGGGATGTCGAATGCTTCTATTCGACATATTTGTGGCAGAAAATTATAGTAGTATTGGGCGCGAAATAAAAGGCTATAAAATAATATGGAGGCCTTGTAACATTTCAATAATAAGACTCATTTTGAGATTATGAGTGGGTAATTAGAGCTCCGTTCCATGAAGATGACAGCACTCTTAAATGTGTTGGTTGAAATATGATAAAATATTATTAGTATGAGATATCGAAAGCTTCTAGTCGATGTTATTTGCTTTATTTAGAAGATATATCGATATTGTATATAGAGATTAATAATATGTAAATTATTATATTCGGCTTGAATATCGGTAAATTTGGGTCGCCGGTCGTATAAATAAATACTTAATTGTTATGGATAAGTTGGAATTTTTTTTATATTGAATATTTTTCAAAAATTAGTCTAATTAGTTCTATGTCTCTAATAATTATATTTTATTTAGATAAATTTTTTCTATGGAGTTTCTATATATATATTCTAAATTTTAGTTTAGGTTTAATATTTCTATATTTTTTGAAATTGAATTGTTTTTTTATTCTATAAAATGTAATGAGGTTATCCGTTGGAGAATTTTTTTTGGAATTCTAAAAAATTTGGAAGATTTTACGATAATATGTCTTTGTAAATTTCTCGCAAATTTAGAATTGTATTCTGAGGCGTTGTCTTTTTATGCGATTTCGGGAGCGTTAAATATTTATATTTTTTATCGAAAATTTGGAATTGCGCGCTTGTTTCTGTAAATTTAGAGACCTCAAATTTCTAGAAAGAGCATGGATATAGAATGCTTGTAAACTTTCCGTTTATGCCTTTATATACGACGTTTATAGAGAATCGAACTTTATTTCATATTTTTATATACGATATTTGCAGAGAATCTCGTGAAATCTGACTCTACTAAGCACGGATGGAAAAACAACTAATGATGACAACGTATACATGCATAGTGAATTTTATCGAGAAATCTTTCCTCCGGAGATGCAGGTTTGAGCATTGCAGTAAGGTGTAATTAAACAACGTTCCAGTGCCGGAGCCGGACGGGGGGAGATGATGAAGGGAGAAATGGAGGAGGACACGGAGGGAGATATATAGAAGAGACGGAAGAAGATATGGGAGGGAGATACGGAAGAAGATACGTAGAGAGATACAGGAGAGAATTTGGGGGAGTGGCGAGGGGGCCAAGATGGGAAGGATGGCGGGTTGGACGGAATGAAAGAAACGGAATAGGGGGACCGTACGGAGGGGATGGGAAGGAGCGGGCGGGAGGGAAGGGACGGGAGGTCGTGAAGATGCCTGTGGTCTCCGCTTGTATTCGGCGGAGGGGATCGGACGGAGTGGACGAGACGGAAGGGACGGGACGGAAGAGACGGGAGGGTGGGGATGGGAGGGAGTGGATGGGACGGAAGAGACGGGACGAGATGGTACGGAGAGGAGGGGGCGGGATGGAGGAGATAGAAAGAGGGGATGGGATGGAGGAGATGGCAAAGAGATGAGAGGAGACGAAGAAAGGGATGAGGTGGAGGGGATGAGATGAGAGAGAGATGAGATGGAGGAGATAATTTGGAAGAAATGGGATGAAATTATAGGGCACGTTGATCTTGATATATATTTATTTGTTATTTTAAAGAGATGAATAAGTAAGAATGGAATTAAGAAAATGAAAGAAAGAATAAAGAATTATAGCTTTTATATTATCTGAAGATAATTATTTAATTTTGCGAATTTGCTATTGATATATAGGACTTATTTAGATATAATAATATCTTTGATAATTTGAATTTTAATGAATCGAGAATATGAGATTCTTAGATTAGAATTATGAATATTATAATATTATTATTATCATCACTATTATTATTATCTTCTTTATTCTGCAATTAAAATTTTGATTTTAGGTTTGTATTTATATAGCGCAATTAAAAGTTTTCTTTCTCTTCCCGAGTAGTAAGGAGAAATGAGGGAGGTAATAGAAGAGATAAATAATAGAGAAAGATAGAGGCGCCAGATAAAGAGATTTGGATTAAATTCAAAAATATTAGCGATTATTATATCTTTAATATTATATAATTGTTTGTCTCTCTCTCTCTCTCTTAATCTCTCTAATTCGTTCTTTCGTTCTCTCTCTTTTTGTCTTTCTCTTTATATTCCTCTCCCTCTATATCTCTTCTCTTCTCTCTCTCTATCTCTCTGATTTCTTGGAATTATATCTCTTTCTCTTTTTCTCTAAATCGTTATATCTCTCTCTCTCTTTCTATATTTATTTCTTTCTATTATTTTCATATTCTCTCTCTTTCTCGCGCTATCTTTCTACGATTCTCTCTCTATTTCTCTCTTTTTGCGTCATTCTGGATCTCTATCTCTCTATATATCTCTCTCTCTTTCTTTCTGTCTTATTGGGTCTTTCTCTCTCTCTCTCTCGGTTTCTTTACTTCTCTATTTCTTTCTTTCTCTCTCTCTCTTTCTTTCTTTTTAATATCGCTCTCTGTATCTTTGCGTCTATATCTCTGTCTCTCTCTCTCTGGGATTCCTTATCTCTCTAATTCTTTCTCTCTCTTTCTTTTTCTCTCTCTATATCTCTCTCTATATCTTTGCGTCTATATCTCTCTCTCTCTCTCTCTATATCTGTGCCTTGGGGTCTCTTCTCTCTATTTCTCTCTATCTCTATCTCTATCTCTCTCTCTGTCTATATATATCTCTCTCTCTATTTCTGAATGCATATTATTTTCTTTCTCTTTTTCTTCGATTCTCTATCTCTTCTTATTTCTTTCTATCTATTTATAGGAAGATATATTTCGTCATTTCATCATGAATCGATGGAAAATTTATTTCGCTGCTAATAGAAGCTTCTCTTATATATCGGTCATTTCTTATTTAGAAATAATAATTCTATTCTTATTATTATTTGGAAAAGTGCATAGTTCGGAACTTATTATTATGTTCAACCGGCAGCAGAGCTTGGAGTAAATTTACTAGTCGCGTAGGTACAGGGGAGCAAGACCATTTCAATAAATTCAAGAGATGTTAAAATAGCTAGAGATAGATTTTTCTATTATGACGATTCTTGGAATTTCTCTTGATCATAAATAATTTTCTGAATTTCTATTTATCTTTTAAGCCATGATATTTTAATTGCGACTAATATTAAATCATTCACATTTCTGAATAATTGAGACAACGCATAATATGATTTTTTTGAATAATTTTTCGTATATATCTCACGAGCTTCAAAAATAGATGATATCGTTTGTCGATTATCCGCTATTGGAAAAAGCGGATCCATTCTAATATAGATAATCTATATATAGAATATCTCAAGATCATAAATAGCGTGGTATCATATTTCTCTATTTAGATTTTCTTTAAATTGTAAGATATAATTTATATAAATTTTTATATGATATTTTGTTTAATCTGGCAATTCTTGAATTATTAGATAGAGATGAGAAGAAAGAAATTAATTTATTTATTTAGTTGGACGTAATTATTAGAAGTGTAGTTGGAAGACAGAAAATCTTAAGATAGGGCGGTATTTTTATATATCTTATAAAAATCATGAAATTTATAATCTAAGATATATTCCTATATCTAATATTATTAGACCGGAGTCGCTATTTCTAAAAGCGGGGGAGAAAACAATCGACATATAATTTATTTATATAATAGGAAATCTTCTATCGATTCAAAATAAAAATTATTTTTGTAATATAGGCAAATAAAATTTTATCAAAAAAACGAATCATGAAATCAAATAATCATCAATATTTTAACTCGCTTGCTTTTATTATAGTATTCTTATTCATCTCGGTATATCTTGCTTCCAATCTTAAGAACTATTTCCATTACAATTATCGCGACACATATAAAGCAAAGCTAATTCATAATCCAGAATACGAGCCACAATAATATAAAAAAAATAATTAATCAAAAATAGAAATAAATAGAAACAAAATCAATCTCTATATCAATAAATATAATATAAAGATAAAATTTACCCGTACTAAATATCCATTTATTAAATTTCCTAAAGCTCTAAAAATTTATAATATTTAAATTATATAATTTCAAATCAAAATATCATTATCTCGTATATTCCTAGTCTCAATATATCAGACCGTAGATTTATAAAATCTACTTCTTTTTTCACGACATCCATCTCAATAATACGCCCTCATCCACCTCTCTACAATGTTCCCTACGACCGCGCCCGCGACATGTCCTCACCCACCATTCCACGACACGCACCCCGCGAGATATGCACTCTCGCCCACGATATCTATTCAATTAATTATAAAACTTTTTTTTTAACTTTTTTTTAAGAGTGCGAATATCCTTCTGTTTGTCATTCATCATAAAACCTCTAACTTTCGAAAATAA